TGGCACCCAAATGATTGGAGAAGCTCCAACAGAGCTAAAAGTGATAAAGTTGAAGGATGGGACTTTGACTATCACAAAAAACCCTTTGTTCAGAGAAGAACTAATTTTACANCAAAAAACCCTTTGTTTAGAGAAGAACTAATTTTACAACAGGGAGAAAAAATGATCATTGAGAACATGATGATGACATACTTCATGCAAGGGTTAAGGAAAAGTCTCTATGATAAGTTCCATGTATTTCCCACCACCTTTGAACAGGCCATAGAAATGGCAGGTGGCATGGAACAATTAATCTCAACAAAAAGAGACAGAGATAGGGATGATGATTACGGTGTGTATGCCCTTTCTAACAAATTCAATAGAGCAGTCTCGTTTAAGAAAACTCCTTTTAAATCTTTTCCGGGACAACAGAGGAGAGAATGGTATCCAAATCGCCCACAGGGCGTGGATCCAGGAAATCTTTCTGGAAATTGTTGCTGGAATTGTGGGGACAAGGATCACTACAAGAACGACTGCCCAAATCCAGTTAGGGGGTACCAACAAAGATCAAATACCAGGTTGATGGAAAACAAACATCCCAACCAGAGAAATTGGAAGAAGGGAGGTGATCCGAGCAGGAGTCCGGTCCCTAGAAATAGGAATACAACTCCCACTAGAAATTTGCGATCAACTAGGAGAAGGGATTCGACACCTGGAGAGGGATACTCCAGTGATAGGAGCAAAAGTAGGAGTAGAAGTCAAAGTATGAGCAGGGATAGGAAAGGACGTCGCGTACACTATGTACAGCAAAGATACAGGAAAGATTGACAGACTGAATCCGAAGCATTGGATCAGTTTGAGGGAGAATGGGAACAGAGTTCGGGAAATGAATAGAGACCGGGAGTTTTTCCAGGAGGGCTCATCAAAAGCTTCCGGTCGTGTTATTAAATATTTCTTCTTCTAATTTTCCAGTGAAATTTCTTGTGGACTCTGGATCCGAAATTTCTCTTATTTCTTCCTCTGTTCTAAAATCTGACGTTTCTCCAGCACCCACTAGAACTTCCATTTCCACTTTGGAAGGAAAGAATATTTCAGTGGAAGGGGAAATTGATTCTACTATCCTCTTATACCAGACTCGGAGAGATTACCTTTTTCCTTGCTGGTTTCTCCTCTGGAGAATTCCAACTTTGAAGGGATCCTGGGAAATGATGTATTAAATCAGGTTTCAGCCCTGATTGATTACAGATCTCAGAACCTTCTCTTATTGAAGGACAAACAAATTCCTTTCTTCTCTAGATCTTTCGAAAATTGGAACCTAAGAAAGAGCAAAAATTCCAGAACGCATCATATCTCCACACAAGATTTGGAATTTAGGCTGTACCCAAGTACCAGGGTACCTATTCCCAGTATGTCTCAATTGCTCATAAAAGCAAGGCCCTCATTAAAAGGGGCAAGACATGAAGGAAGAGATATCTATGTACACAATTGTGAAGAAAATGGGGTTTTAATTGCCAGAAGTCTTTCTAGGATCTCCAATGGAATCCTTCCAGTTCTCTGCATGAATTTGACAGATGAACCAATCAAGATTTCTCCTGAAATGACTCTCACATTTGGTTCTGTCCATTTTTTGGAGTCTTCTAGAATCCATCACGTTAGGAAGAACAATTCCAAATTTCCCAGTCTTTCTCAGGACAAAGCCAATATCCATGGGAAAGAAGAGGATCTGAGCATCAGGCAGTTGATCAAGCAGAATATAAAATCTTCTGAGTGCCCTGATCACCTCGTAGAAAAAGTTAGAGCCCTATTATTCAAATACCAAAATGTCTTAGCCAAAAAGGCTGACCAATTGGGCCTCTGTGAAATCTACGAGGCAGATATTCCTCTAGATACTAAAGTTCCCGTTTATACAAGGCAGTATCCCATTCCTTTTGGGATGAGGCCTTTGTTAGAAGAATATGTGGGTGAACTTTTAGATCAAGGAATTGTTAGGCCTAGTAAATCTCCATACATTAGTCCAACCCTCATGGTAAAAAAGAAGGACGGAGGGTGGAGAATGGTTGTGGATTTTAGGAGATTATAAATGATCATGTCATCACTGATCCTCACCCTTTGTCTAGGATCAGTCAAATTTTTGAAGAGCTTGGTTCAGCCAAGTATTTTACAGCTCTTGATCTCCTCCACGGGTTCTATAACCTAAAAATCAGGGAGGAAGAAAGATGGAAAACAGCTTTTTCAACTCCAATGGGGCATTATGAATTTATTTGTTTGCCCATGGGTCTGAAGAACAGCCCATCAGTCTTTCAGAGACTCATGCATTTGGTTTTGGATGGCTGC